AGAATTTGTTAAACTGAACCTGCAGCTTAGCTATGTACACAGGTGTCAAGGCAGGTGCTGGGGACAGCCAGGATGAGGGGAGGTGTGGTGAACATGGGTGACGGGGGATAGGGAGTGAGAGCAAAGAATCACCTTCGGTTCTGTGCACATAAGGAAGTGGCATCATTGACCAGAACAGAGTGGTGCCTAGAATATGAAAGCATGAGCCCATGTCTTGAAATATCCCAGGGAGATGGAGGGTGGACATGAAGTCACCACTCTAGAGTGTCCCACAGAAAAGGAATGTTGACACACTCTGTTTGCAGAAAAGAAACCAAACTGCACTCAGAGCCCCAGGGTACGTGAGACCTACATTCCTAAAACAATGAGTTCTGTGTGGTTGCTTGTGCTCTAATGACTGTGAGCTAACTGATTTTTATGCAATTAGAGCTAAAGGAAAAATACACAAAGTCAGGAGCCAAGAGCTAGAAGCTGGCACTCATAGTACTAATTATACTCCTAGTTCTGCCTAGGCCTCACCGGCTGGGCCCACACAAAGACCACTTCTCTGGCCCTGAAAAAGGTGTGGGCGGGTAGAACCAGATGTTTGGTTGCTGTAGATTTTCCTCTCAAATCCCATGCTTCAAACATAACATATACTGCCTCTTTTACTGGACTTTGAAAAGGCCATAGTGGAATCAATTTAGAGTTTATGAGGGAAGAGCAGGTGAAAAGAAGTAAGAATCTTGGTACTTAGTCGCTGGCAAAGTATGGAAATTTGGGGTATAAGGAGTAAGGGAATGTACACGGAAGGGTTAACAGAGCAGGCCTGAGACTGACAGCTTAGATAGTTCTGCTCAAGGCTGACCTCTCACTGGCCCCTAGAACTTGGGTTATGGGAGGGTTCCCGCCATTATCTGATAAGAGTGGCTCACTGCACCTCAACTGTTTGTACAAACAGTATGGCTTATGCTGAACACCTGTTTTTCTTCTGGGAGTCTGGAATTTTAGTACATGCCAGGCAGAGGCTGCCTATGTGACCAACCCCAATAAAACCCTGGTGGACCACATTGCACACACTGTTGTCACAACTCATTGCAAGAGGTGTTAAGTGTGTCCTGTGGGACTGCACCGGGAAAGCACTCTTGGAAACTTACACCTCGTTTCCTCCAGATTCACTTCAGATCCTTTTGCTATAATAAATCATAGTCATCTCTACAGCTATAGGCTGAGTCTTGTGAATCCTCCCACAAACCACGGAATCTAGGTGTGATCTTGTGGACCCCAAATACAGGGAATTTCCCAGCATCTTTATTTGTTGTAAGTTATTGCATTATTTTGACTCAAAATAAAGGTCATGCCCTCATAAAAAAAACTAAAAAAAAAAATAGGAAATTGTAGCAAAGCAAGATACTAATAATTCTTTAATGAAAAGGTTTTTTCCCCACATATATTATATAGTTGAGGTCTTAATGTGAAGGTAATTTGTATCCTGCTTTTGTTGTTTGTTGCTGTCATTGATTGTTTCTCTTGATTCTTTTGTTGTTGTTAATATATGAAAAGCCATTCTCCATGTGTTTGAAATTCCTTGCAAAGATTATTTGAATGGCTGCATAATGTTCACAACTGGCTTGCCTATTTTCTTAAATCTTTTAGTGTTTTCAGCTTTCCATTGTTATAAATAATGTTGCAATGGATATCTTTGAGCTCTGCATGCACCATGTACATTTTCAAAGTTAGAATCACTGTTTTGGAAAGGAAAAGGGGGTACCAGAGAATGTATATGGGTTTCACATGACTGCTGAACTCAAGGGCTCTGAGAAGAGATGCCAAGTTAGAAAAGAGGGTCTCCAAAAATAGTTCTGAAAACATATGCTTAACTTGCATCCTTGAATAATGAATCTGATCTTAGGACAGATTTTAACAACCTGGTATTTGTTAAAATAACAGCAAGATGTTTACCTAGTAAGCAGAGATTTTATGTCATTAATGAGACTTAATCAGGGCAGCACATTCCATGTAGAAGATGTGTTAAAAAAAAAAAAAAGTTTAAAATGGGAAAAGTCCATTGTAGGTACACAAAATCAGATCTTTGGCTGGAATATAAGAAATGAGGCTGTAGAAGAGACCTTAAGTGTCAGATGTCTGCAGGAGGTAATGGAAGAGGTGGAGGTCAATTTGGTGGTGATAGATGGGATGAAAGGGAACCAGGAGAGACTGGAGGCACGGAAGCCAGTAGGTACAAGATTGAGAGAGACAGATTTTGATTGACAAGAGGAAGGAAGGGAGAGGAAAGCCCAGGACAGTGGGAACAAAGCTGGCTTTAAAAGAAGCCAGACTTAGTTTGAATCCCAGCTCAGCTATTTATTGGCCATGGGACTTGAGCATCACTTAAATCCCTGTGTGTCCTGTGACTGTTTCCTCAACAGGTATATCAATGCCTACATTGTAGGTGATGGCAAAGATGAGAACTAATATGTATAAAGTATCCAGCACAGTGTCTTTCAGTAACTGGGTAGTCAATGATGAAAGTTGCTAATCAAGAAATGGTTGAGGAGCATTTGAGATCTTGATCCCCAACACATATCATCGGTTTGGCTCAAATAAACTGTTATAAAAAAAATCAAAGAAAAAGAGAAATGATGGATAAAACTTGGTTATTACCTAGATATGGGAGAGAAGAAGAAATAAAAAATGTTCCAAAATCTCAAGTCTGGATAACAGGAAGAATACTACCTACTATATTAAGCATCACGTACAGACACTCTGCTATGCACTTGTAACTATTTCTTCAGATAATCCTAAAGTCAATCCTATGAGATAAATATTAATGTTTTCATTTTAAAATAAAGGCATCGAGGCTTAGAGAAAAGGCATAATTTGTTCAGGTCAATTGAGCCTGTCAGTAGTAGTGTCAAGGTACATTTATAGACTCGGATTCAGAAATCATTTATATTTTACCAATGTGGAAACCGAGGCCAAGTTGAAGAATTTGCCTAAAGTTACATAACTGGATGGTGGCAGAGCTAAAATAATTCCGGTCTCATGATTCACCATAAAACTACTTTATAGTTTACTTTATACTTTATACTTTAGGTGAACTAACAGGGAATGGGATACACATGAATAGTAGTTTCACATGGATAATGCTTGAGGCAATGATAGGCATTTCCAGGTAAAGATCTCCAGCAAATGGTATGACTAAAACTCAGGGAAACTGTGGGATATGAGAGGATGAATGCTGACTGAGGAGCAAATGAGCAAAAGGGAAAGAAGGAAGAATATGAAAAGTAAGAAGGCTGAAGACAAGTCTCATGCACTACAATGTGGAGGCTGAAGGTAGAAATAGCAGGAGACCTAAAGTCCAGGAGGTCTGTAGATCCAGAAGAGTACAACACAGTTACCAGAGCTGAAGGCTGCAAATAGGGCAGGGGATGGGAGAAAGGCCATTTGTTGGGTTTCATGATTAGGCAATTGCTGGTGACCCTGGGAAGACCCATTTGGAACCTATGGATACAAGTAGTTTAGGAGTCACCAGGAGGCAAGATCCGGGTGCATACCTCTCTTTCTAGAAGTCTGCTGATGAAAGAAGAGAAAGAAAAGTACCTAAATGAAGTAGCAAGAGTCTAAAGGAGATTGCTTTGAAGAAGAGATGACATAGAACATTTGAAGAGGTCCAAGTTGAGAAAAGCCTGAGGATGCTTAGAGAGACATGTAGCTATCTGAAGGTCTACAGTGAGAAAAAGCTGGCAAGGGCACTGTAGACAACACAGGTGAAGGAGTCAGTCTTGGGAATGCATAGAAACATATGAGACTTTTAAAGAGAAACAGGTGAAAATGCAAAGAAATTTCAAGGTACTGGGCCTACAAAGTTGCTATTATGTTCCTGCCCTAAGGACCTCGGTAGCTCATAGCTTGCTAATGCTGTCTCTCTAGGATCTTCCCATGAGTCACCCGACAACCGAAAGCACTGTCTTATGCAACCCGTCTGTCTACCAAGACCATGTGATATCATTAAACGTAGCTCTTTTTCCCAACACCCAAGCAAAACAAATCCATTCAATACAGCATCACTTGGGAAGTCCCTGCTTACATCTTGGTATCACAGCGTCCTTACTCACAGAAAAACGTGTGTTAGAGAGCAAAGGGGGCAGGCAGAAATTCAAAGTGCTGGGCGATATCACATAAGGGTCCCTAGAGTGTTAAATCTGATCACCTTTAAATTATATTTCTAAGCATCCACCTACTTGTCACAGTTTGGTTTTTGTAACATTTAAAATATTTGTCTCCCCTCAAAAAAAATAAAATAAATAAAATAAAATAAAATAAAATAAAATA